AAAAAAAAAAAGAAAACCTCACTTTTCAGTTTTAAAGTTAACAAAGGTAAGTCTATTACATGCCATGAAGAAAAAAATACCAATATCCTAAAAATACTATATCAAATGGTATTACTTCTGAATAATACTGAATTGAATTCTACACTTAAAACTTACTATTTTCATAAGTATGTAGTAAATTAAGCCAAGAAAAGAACTTACGTTGTGATGCTCACATTTGAGGAAGGAATCACTAGAACCCGACTCGGTGCGATAAGCACAGATGTATCACACGTCACCACTCGAAGGCCCAGCAGGAACTTCCCGGGGGTCGCTCCACCTGCTCCCCAAATGCAAATTATCTAAGGAAGGAGGGAGAGTTTAAAAATAATTCACTAGCTCAACTCTACCAATTTTAAAGAGAAGTTTTTTTGCCATGTTATTCCTGTTTTAAAATTTTCAAGTTGAAAGAATCTCAGAGAAAACTGACAGGTTAACGCTGTAAGGCTTCTCTGCAGGTCTCTTATGCCCTCAATACACCAGACGTCTACCACAGTATTTCTCTGTGACCCACTTTTTTTTTAAGCAAGTTGTTTCTATGGAAAAATACATTTCAAGTTCCACAACAACTTACAAGTGTATTTTTAGACCACAAGACTGAAATATAGTACAAAGAAATTGTAAAATGCCACCACTCAGAAAGTTCTACTTTTTAACTTGAAGAATATTATGTTAAAGAACATTTGGAAAAAATTAAAAAACAGAGGTATTTAACAAAAACATGAATACTTATAAATTTCCATTACTTTTTGTGTTGGGCTGATCATCTAAAATTAGATTGTTAAACTTGAATATTTGCTGAGTCAGTAGCTTACCTCATAGAAACAAACTAACAATCTGTATATAAGAGCCACAATCATCATTTTCTGCAAGTCTTCCATTGATGTGTCTTCATCTATTTCTTCTATTATATAATGCATAGCAAACTTAGAGATATCCCTACACAAAACAATAGTTTTGGGATATAAAGAATTAGTTAACAGAGCAATTGCATTGGTATTTCTTCCATTAGTGTCACAAACTTTAACTGAAATTCTAAACTAATCTTTAGGTTTCCACCCATTTAGTTTCACAAAACATTCATAAGCTTGTTCAACAAAGAAGCAGCACTATCGTGAGCAGGCACTGTACTAGCCCCGGGGACTCAACCTCATCTCTGCTTTTATGGAGACTCCTACCTACTAGACAAAGCACAACAACTAAGTAATAATAAAGTGGGATGATGGTGATGATAGAGAACCACAGGATAGTAGGGAAACACATACCAGGTACATTTAACCTAGGGAGTGAAGCCTTCCCTTTCCATCCCATCTTGTGGATAAAGAGAAGTTAGCCAGACTAAGAAGGGGGAAGTTTCAGGAGGGAGAGACTAGCACGAGAGAAAGGTTTGGAACGAGGCTGTGATGGAAGCTGTAAGCAGTATGGCATGGCTCAAATATTAAGTATAGAAGGTCATAGCAATTAAGAAATAAGAGCATCTGTTAAATGATATGAAGACAAGACTTTATCCTGATGGCAGTTAAGAAATCACTGAAGAGTTTTAAGGTGGGAGAGGGGCAGAATCAGAATTTATGATCTCTTTGGTTTTAGATCAGAGACTGGACTGAGATAGAACAGGAGACGGGAGACTGAGATACCAGTTAGAAGACTTTTGCTATGATCCAGATGAGAGATGACAATCACTGGACTAGGAAGAAGCAGTGACGATGAAACAGTAAAAGGGAAATGGTCTGAGTTGAAGGCTATTCAGGAGCCTAAAAGTAAGGAGCTGGTACCTGGTTGGCTGTGTGGGGGGTGGGAGAGAAAGGGAGACACAGGGAGGAATCGCAGTAAAACTAGGGTTCCTGGCAAAGGCCCTGAAATTTCACCAAAGGGTTTGTATCTTGACACCGACACTTATGACCTTTGTATTTATAAATTCTGAACTTAACTTCTTGAAGTAAACCCTAACTTCAATCTACAAAAAGGAGGTATTACCCTCTACATCTCATACTGGTGGTACAATTAAAGAATCCATATGAAGTGAGCTCAGCACTCAGCATATAGAAAGGGCTTAGCAAGTGATAACTGCTATATAATTATTAATATGAAAGGAGGATTATTCAAATAAACAGCTCACTTTGCAGTTCACTTGGGACTTGCCTCGTTGTGTAAGCAATCCCATTTGGAAATGCCCGTCTAATTGATTATCAACAGTTCATCTACCCAAAGCTCTCTGTTTTTGTTTTTACTCCGAACAGGATAGTGAGAGGGAAATTAATGCCTAGTCTAACAAAATGGTTGAATCAAAAAAAATCAAACGTTTACCTACTTTTGATAGGTGAGCTTCCCACAGATCTTTCACAACTTGTTTTTCTCTTTTTTGTATTTATTTCTTAAAACCAAGAAATAAAATATGCCCAAGTCCTTATAGGAGCTCCCAATAGGAGAAATCGTGACACTGGCACACTGTCCATTTGCAGGCATGAAGAGAACTTCAGAAAACAAGATCTCTATACAGTACACATTAAAACCTTTCTGCAAATAGCCTTAACTTACTTTATTCCACTCAGGTGCATAATACTTAAGACAATGGTTGCTTTTATAAAGAAGAGAATAAAGAAATCCACCATCTCTGCCATAAATCTGTGGGCCAAGGATGGAATAATATACTCTCTGCCTGTAAATTAAAAAAAAAAAAAAAAAAAAAAAGTTAGGAAAACTACTCATTTCACATAAGCCTTGGAACCCAAGCTAGGTAATAAATGGAGAACACAAAGTCAAGGTATAACTTGCTAATAAAAAGAGAAGTTAAAACCGTGCAACAATTACTGGTATTGACTCCATCAATAGTACATGGTATTTATTCCACTATTTACTGAACAGTTTAAAGCTTGCTTTCACCCAATTACGGTTTAAAAAATGATTTCACAGATATTAAATTATTTAAGGCACTCAATACATTTCACTAGGGACTCAAAAACGTATCCTGGTGATCACAAGCCTATGACACAAAATTAAACATTCTTTAGGAAAAACCAAGGTTAGGTATAGACAATTACTAGTACAAAGTAAATAACCCGTGTTCCTCATTTTACCGCGTCTTCACTTAGTTTGTCTTGCTTTTCTACGTAATAAATCCAATGATTATCAATCTGACCTCCTAAGTTCTGAATGGGATCAAATACAGGAAAACTAGTTCTTGTCTCATATATGTGGCTGAACAAAGTAAACAAAAAGTCTAATAAACTAAAAAGTGTAACTAGAACAAAACATTCTAATTCCCATCCAGAAGTAAACAGACAGTAGTTCACTTAGGGCTAAAAGGTTCATAACTCCACCTGCTTTCATGTAAATCTCCTTTTATATCCGGCAGTTTCATTGTTCCTAATATATAATGTGTAATTATCCTATCAATTATATGTTATAGATACTATTATATATCACCATATATCCTATCATCCATAATAAATCCACGTCTGGATCATTCCCAGCACTACCGGCAGCCCCCACGCCGAACCGGCCGTCAAAGTGGGTTTGCCACGTGAGGGTGAAGCTCTGGATCTCCGTCTCCACAGCATGGAGATCAAGAGGCTAGCCTGATGGGCAACGATTTCCTTACATGTGGAGACGACGAGTCCCAGGACTAAGGGAATCAGTTCGGAGGGCCAGGTCTAAAGGAAAAAGAAAACGTACAGCCTCGCCGCACACTTGGGGAGAATTTAAGGCCTGGGCAAACGATAGCTGAAGGACGCACAGAAATACCGCATCTGCGCAGCAGCATGGTTACAGAAGTAGAAAGTGTACCTGCGCTCCCTACCAGGGAGCTCCCCTAAGACCCTTCCGCTCCGCCCCGCCTCACCTCTCAGTCGCGCTTCTCACCTGCCTGCCGCCCGGTCTCGCTCGGGGTTCGCGAAGGGGCGCCGGATCCCACCCTGGTCCCTGGGGTTGCCCGGACGGATCCCTGCGCGTGCGGAGCCCGGCCTCCCAGGCCCGCGACCGGAGCAGCGGGGGTGATGCCGGTAGCCGCTCCCAGGTCAGGCCCGGCGGCCGCGGCGCTCAGGAAGTAGAAGGGGTTGTAATAGCCCAGCTGGAGGGGCGGCGGCGCCGCGGCCTGGGGGGCGGGGGCGCCACCGCCCGAGGGGTAGCTCGGCGGGGGCGGCTGGGGGCTGCAATAGGCGGGGAAGGCGGCCAGGCCGCTGTGCCAGGTGAGGTAGCCGCAGTAGGACTGCCACAGCCACTCGTGCACCTGCCGGGAATACTCGCGGGCGCTCAGCCGCACCGGCCTGTCTCGCGGCGCGGCGGCCTCGGGCGCCTCGCCGCCTGCCGGCTCCTGCAGCCCCGCACTGGGGCCGGGGCCCGTCTCCCCGCGCTTCCCGGGCTCGCCGGGCGGCTCCGACTCCTCAGCGGCGGCCGCGGAGGGTGCGAGGCCCGGGGCGGGGGGCCGGCCCGGGGCCTGGGGTTCCGCCTGCGGCCCGTCCCGGGGGCGTAGGGCGGCGGCGGGAGAGCCTCTCAGGGAAGGGACGGGCTCGGGGTCCCCTCCGCCGTCGTCCTGCCCAGGAGGGCGGCCTCGGACTTCCTCCGGCCCCTCTGCCATCGTCGCCTCAGCAGCACCCTCGGCGGTCCTGTCACTGCGCCGTCTCCAGGCCCCACTAGCCCCTCCCCAACGGCCCGGTCGCCACCGCAGCAGCCGCAGGCGTCAACAATTCGCCACCGGAAACGGAAACCCCGCCTCTCCCCGGCGTCGCCGGCCGCGGGGCGGAGCGGGGGGCGGAGCGGGGGGAGGGCGGGGGCGTGGAAGACAGGGCTGCGTGCTCCGGCGCGGGCGGCGGGCGTTCGGCGTCTCGGCTGCCGGGAGCCCTTGGCTTGTCGGTCGTTGGGACCACGCTGCCCGCTCCCCCGCCACCTCTCACGGTCTTAATGAAGTCTAAGTCCCGTGGCTTCCCCACATCATCCCCTGGGAGGTGGACTCGGGCTGTCCCAGGAGAAATTGCGGATGGAGGAAGAGGATTTCCGAGAGAGATCCCGGGTCCCAGGTTTCTATTACCGAGTCGCGACTGGTTGGGTCCCCCGGCACAGGGCTTGTTGCTTATTTCCGCCTGCCTTCATTCCAGTCAATTAGTCCTTGGCCATATGTACTCAAGAGACTGACACAAGACCTATCCCTTTAAGGGGATAAGAAATTAATAACCAAATTACACAGAGCCGTACATCAAGATAGTATGGCTCAGCTGCAGGGATTTTCAGTGTAAAAGACGGGAAGAGGGATTATAGGGATTATGTTGATTTAAGATCTAGACTCTGTCCTTATCTGTGTCGCTAACATCTTGCTTTCCACCGCTGTAGGCTCTAGCAAAACTGCCTTTCCTCACGCCGTCATCTCAGCCCTTGGTGTCTGTTCCTTTATTTTCTGTTAAGGCAAGGCCTGTACGTATCCCAGGGCTTTGGAGCCTTGTCTGAATGCTCCGGCCCAGGCATGATTTCCCCTCCCTCTGAACTATATTAGCACCTTATATTTTTATATTTTAATATACTTCCGTATGTCATAAAGTTGATGAAGTGATAGGAGTATGTTTTTGTATCGCGGTACCATACAGAAGACCTTCGAGGGCTAAGTACTGTGGTTGCACTTGTTACTAGTGATCTCCAGAATCATTCTTGACTTCGCTCTGGGAACTAGAATAGTAAAAGGTGTGACTTTAGCCTTTAAGAAGTTCAGTAGTTCATATGATTAAAGGACGTTTCATGAAACACTTGAAGACCTATCTAAGACAATATGAGTATAATAAGAATCCAAAATAAGGGAAGCATCGTGGGGGTCTATAGCTAGCAAGATTGCCCTTAACAAATTTGGTTTTAAGAATTGTGAGGAAGTTGTAACATTTAAACAAATAAGCATTCCAAGTTTGGAGGGTTCTGGGAGTGGGGTGGCAGGAGAAGCAGGAAGAAATGAAGATGATATGGAATGAGTGTGAAATATTGCAGTTATTACAGGCATGGACTTTGTTTTGAATGTCATTGATTATGTAGCACCTGGCACAGTGCCACCCACATAGCAGACATTTATAGTCAGCAGGACTCTTGGTTGCGGTTGGCTTGTAACTGATTTAAGAGAGAAAAAAGTAAGTGAATTTATTGACTTGCATAACTAAAAAAGTTGAGGGTTGGTTAGGTTTGAAGGATATCTGGTTACAGGTGATTACTTCAGGAATTGCCTCTTTGTTGGTTTCTTTTCTGACTTGCCTTTTGAGGAAAGTGTTTCTGTTTCAGTGATTTAAAAAAGAATTCTAACTGACATGAACAAAAAAATTTTTTGCCTATGTAAATCAGCAAATTCAGGGGTTCTACATAATATGAGAATATTCAACAGGACATCTAATAGGCATCCCAAAACAGAGAAGAGAGGCAAAATTCAAAGCAATAATGGCTTTATTATTCTAAATCTAAAGCATATAAAGGTCACGCTTTAGATAGAAAGAACATCGAGTCTTGAGAAAATAACATATACATCATGATGGATTTAAGCAAAGAGAAAAGTTTAGTGATCTTAATAGTATCAAAACATGAACTGTTGACAAAGAAGTGACATTTAGCCTGGAAGCCAAGTTTCCAAAAGTGAAAATAGGTGCTGAAGAGAGTAGAGTGAATATATATAGTACTGAGGAGAAATTACAACCTAGAATGTTATAACCAAGTAAACAATCACTCAAGAATGAAGATGTGGGCGCCTGGGTGGCTCGGTTGGTTAAGCGACTGCCTTCGGCTCAGG